TTTATTACATGTATTTATATGACATTCTAGTATTCTCAGAAAGTAAAGCATTCCATAAACAGTACATTTCAAAAGTTTTATACAAACTAAGCGAATGGGGACTGTGCTTCCAAATATGTTTTCAGTGTTGCTAAAATAGAATTCTTAGGCCATTTAATAACACAGAATGGGAGTAAAACTTTACATGGAACTATTACCTTTCAAAAAACCGGAAACTGTTAAAAATTTTTAGTTTTTAGGGTTACTAGATTTTTTTCCATGGATATCTGCCACATGCAGCTCATAACCAAGCACCACTCAGCGGATATTTAAAAAGTTAAAAAAAGAACGGCAGATGCAGAGTTCACTGGTCTGTTCAAACAAGTGAAGCTTTTAAAAATGCTAAACAACAGTTAGCAAATGCTTCATTATCCTTAGCCAAATGCGTCTTAATTCTTTAAGTCTATACATCTGATTATGCTATTGGCTGATCTCTGAATCAAGCTACTAAGTGTGGACTCGAACCTTTAGCATTTTTTCTAGAAAGCTCACAACCACTGAGACAAAATATAGTGTATATGATGGGGAACTATTAGCAATCTTCACATCCATTTGGAAGTTTAGATGCATAGTAGAGGGCTACAAATTTATTGTGTTTACTGATCTTGAACCACTAATATTTGCTTTCAAACAAAACCTTGAAAAATGCTCCCCACATCAAAATTGTCATGTAGACTTTATTTCATAATTCATAACTCATATCCAATGCATAAAAGTAACCAATAATATTGTTGTTGATAAATTATTTTGCATGCATGAAATTAAAATTATTGGTCTTATTGATAATGAAGAAATTGCTAAGGGGCAACAACAACTGACGATGAGGTAAAAGAAATATTAAATACTAACAATTCTTTACAAAGAAAAAAAGTTAAGCTTCCAAATTCAGAAATAGAATTATAATGTGTTATATCTATTGGCACAGCAAGGTCTTATTATTTTCAGTGCATTCCGAAAATTGTTTTTTTAATTGCATACATTATTTAGCTCATCCAGCCATTGGAACAAGGTCAAAATTAGCTCATATCCAATATGTGTGGCCAGATATCAAGAATGATTTTCCGAACTGGACAAGATAGTGTATTCTGTGTCAAAATGCTAAAATATGCACACACACAATTCAGCTTCTTCACAATCTACATGATATCAACATATTCATTTAGATCTCATCAGCACACTTCCACCTTCTAATGAATTTGCATATTGTCTAACGGCTATCGATGAATTCACTTGATAGACAGAAACTATCCCCATCATCGATATTCAAGCTACAACAGTATCAGTGCCTTTTTATGCAATCTAGATCTCTCGGTTTGGTATTCCAGCTATTATTACAACCACTCAAGGGTGTCAATTCAAGTCTTTTTTTGTTTAAGGCTCTAACACCAAAACTCTTAAGCATACAACGGATACGCAGAACTGCTTATCATCCTCAAAGCGATGGCTTAATTGAGGAATTTCACCATCCCTTAAAATCTGTGTTAATGTGTCATGAAATTCTAAAGTGGTAGAAATTTTCCCATCTGTGCTACTTGAACTGAAAACAGCACTCAAAGAAAGCATCAGTTGCACTTCCTCAGAGCTTGTGTATGAAATTACAGTTAAACTTCTGGGTGATTTTTTTCGACCCATCGAATGCTGAAACTGATCCTATTGGAGACATTGAACAGCCTCAAAGCTGCATGCAGCAGCTTAAAGTAAAACCAACTACAGTCAAATGTCTTTAATCCGGACTCGTTGGGACTTCGGCGATTCTGGATTATCAGTTTTTCTGGATTATAGATCATCAATTTAAATCTGGTAAGATGGCATGCAGAAATTATAAAATTAAAAATATGAAACCGTAATTTATGAAATAAAGAGCAGTTATGATCTAAAGGGTATCAAAATTTACAAAAATATTTATTTGTTTACTTTATTAAACATTTCTTTCAACGCGTGCATGCGTAAAGCATACATTACGCATAGTCGAAATTAGAAAATTGCAACCAGAAAACGATTTGATGTGTATTCGTGATATTTATGATGACGAGGAATTTGATTTCAATCGTATCAAAGATGGAGTACATTGTGATGAAATACTACATTTAGTAAGGAAAGTGCTGATAGATCAACTTTCAGTACATTGCATGCTGCGACATCCCCCCCCCCCCCCCCCCCCCCCGCAGAGCAGCGTGAAATTGATAAACAGATTTCGGAATGGTTAGAGAAACAAAGAATATGCCTTTATCCATTTTTTGCAGCAATTCCACTTTTTGTTTGATGGACATCAAAACATGCTTTCGCTTTGTAGATCCTTTGACAGCTCCAGAAATAGAAATTCTTTTTGACATAATTGAAAGTTCAAGCTTACTTTTATAAAATTGCTCTAACGGTCTGCAAAAAATAATAAGTTGGATCCAATTCGAAGATTAAGGCAATCAGCAACATTAACTGAAATAGATAAGTAGATAATTTTAGCTTAGCTTATACCATCCGTTATACATTAAACGTGCATGCGTAAAAGTATTACGTGCATGCGTAAATGCGTATGCACATGCGTAAACGCTATGCATGCACAGAAAGTTTGTAGCTTTAAGGTCCAGATTATAGATCATTCCGGATTATGGACGTCCGGATTAAAGACTTTTGACTGTAGATCACATGCAACAGAAGCAATGTTGAGTCACAAAGATTTAAAAACGTGTTCGCATGTGTTTGTGCAATGTCATGCAGTACAACAGACACTACAGCAACCTTATGACAACCCTTTTAAAGTGCTCAAATATAGTGCAAAAGTTTTCAAATCATCTGTGCACAGAAAAATAGTTTCAGTTTTACTTGGTCGTGTGAAACCAGTATTTATGTCTAATATGGACTTGGATACTTGCGTTCCTAATATTGTACAGCGTAGATCTGCAAATCATGCTAAAACAAATATTCATCAAGCTCATTCTGGGCAACATGTGCATTTCCCTGATTTTTATGCGTCATCATGTTGAGGAGTATGTGACAGACCACACAAAGCTAAGAAATTCATGTATGCAGTTTCCCACCGGTCGTAGTGGTCAAGCTGTTACTAAGTGTGAGACAGCAGGCTCCAGCATTGCAAAATCAACAATTCATTCAGTTATGACTTCACTTGACATTACAAGAATCGTAAGTTCACATCCAGTGTCAAGAGATTTTTAGTGATCTGTCACCTATTTCAGGGAGTCTGAGGGACAATTGATCCTGTTGCTCTTCAGATATTGTTCCAACTATACCAAATCAGGGGACATAAAATACAGCCAAAAAATTAAGGGTGTATGACTAATTCAGTCATCAAACTGTTGTAGACAAGGTAAGAACTTAGAATGCTTCTAAACTCTTGACTAGAGAAAGGCTTACCACTAGCAAGATCCTCACGTAAGGAGGACTATAATTTGCGATAATTGCTTCTTTGCTTTTAGTATTGTTATGTACTGGGAAGAGCTTCTCATAGATTTCCATTAAATGAATTTTATTTCTATATGCATTAAGTAATAAGTATCCTTAAGTGATAAGTATCACCACATGATGTTGTGCCATCTAAGTTGCATCCAGAACTGCCAAGCCTCTTAATAAAAATGGGTACTCCCACTTTTCCAGAAGTTCTGGGTTCCTGGTAAATCTTTAAATACTCCAGTTTATAATTTGTCTGAATCATCTCTTGGAAATGTTAAATGAGAAAAAAATTTATAATTAACTATCAAAGGAAGAGGAAATGTACAAAGAAAAGTTTGATAACAAATTAAAAAAAAAAAAAAAAAAAGGGCAGTCATATTTCCTTTTAATGAAACTGAAGTTATGCAAATTCCTCTTTTTCCAAGTGATTTTAGAATAATATTATATTTAACTGATTTGCAAAGCATTTTATGAAAATTTAATTAACATTTAATAAGTACAAATTTGTATTAAATCTTCATTAAAATTTTTAAATGGTATAATGCTAATTTTATTTGCAAGGTTATATGCACATTAGTTCATAATTTTATTTTTAAAAATATAATAGTAGAAAGAAAAATATAAAATTAAATAAAATTAGATGGAAACTGTAGTTTAATTAATTTATTCTAAATTTTATCAAAATTAACATTAAAATCATGTTGTAACTAGTTTAACAACCTAAATTATTTAACTTTTAGCAAATTTCCGTGTTTGGAATCTTTTTGAATTTGAGATATCACTTAGTATTTCAAAGTTGGGAGTTTTAGCATTTTGATAGAAGCAAATGAAGAAAAAGACAGCAAATGCATAGCTCTTAAAATGAAATGTCATATATGATTTTCTGTTAGTTTGCTATTTTTATAATTGTTAAAAAAGGAAATTTGTATCTTATCTTAATTTTCCTCTTTTTAATTTTGTTATCTCCCATAGAATTAGTCTTAATAATATTACATTATTCAGTTTTGATCTAAAGTGCTTTGATAATTATTTTCTGAGTACTGCATCTCCATAAAAGAATATTAATCATTGAAAATTTATGATATTCTTGTTCCCTGTGGAAAAGGAGTAGTTTTAGTAATTTTTAATCCAAGTTAAAATCGTATCTGCTAATTAATTTAGTGCTTAACATATTTACAGCTACAAGTATACTTGTAATTAGTATATGAGTCTCAAAAGTCAACTGTGAATGCACTCATACATTAATTTACCAATTTTTTATACTGAGCATGAATTAACAAGTAGCATATGCACCTTAATTTGCATTCTTAAATTATGAATAAAGCGGAGAGTACACCTGGGCTTGTAACAAGGAAAATAATTTAAGGGGAAAAAAGTATATTTTAAAAGATGTTGTGTAAATTGTATATACTCGTATATTACTGCAAGTAAAACAACTTTTTGTGTTTTATTAACATTTTAATAAATTTATATTTATATAGCATATATATCATGCACAAATAATTAAAAGCAATTCAAAGTTTTAGTGGAATACAGCACTAACTACTGATACATCACTGTACTCTAAAACATGAAAGCGGAAAGAGTCAACTTTCATATGAATCAAAATATGAATGATTCACTTTGAATCTATTTTACATGCACAGCGGTGGTTTTTGAACTTTTAATTTTCATAAATCTAGTCTTTAAATTTAACGGAGACTTAATTGAAAAACTCAAAAGAAATTAAGCCATCAACATAGTTTAATTAAATTTATACTTGAGAATTTATTGTAGATATTTTTGCTTCTTGCATTGGAACTTACTGTTCAAATATTGGTTTTGAAATTAAAAGACAGAGTTGCCTTTTAATTTTCCTTTTTCCATTTTGAGTTGCTTCTTCTATCAAAGGTTTTACTTGCTTGTTTTTTGTTTTCATTTGACCATATTAAGGCATATTTTCATAAACCAAGATATGAAAGCAAAATTTTTCTGGAAATGTGTATATGAAGAAATCAAGGTAGCTTACCATTCTAGCTATAATTTGTGTATAATGTTGTAGTTGTTATTTATTATTATCATTATCATTTGGTTAATTTAGTAGAGAAACTTGCTGGTTTCTCTTACAATCTGATACAGCAGATAGAATTCAAAAGCTCTAAAAGAATCCTTTGATGCAAAGTGTTTTCATGTTTTAAATAAAACTGCAACATTTAGTGAAATACATTTATTCTCTACCATACAATAACCAACATTTCACGTATGTATAGAAGAAAAGTACATTCACTTGTGGCTCTGTAATGGAATGTTGCAACTGCTTTATTGTAATATTTATTTCCCAGATATCTCGCTCATTTTGTAAAATTGTTTAGTCAGACTATTTTCGGAATAAAGTTTACATTAAATAAAACATGGTATGAGCTAGAATTTATCTTTATATGTTTCTTCTTTTTATGCCTTTTTAATAATAATAAGAAGTAAAAACTGCATTAAAAACAGCAAAATTGTACTTGTTTAATAACTGTTTTTCTTGTTTTTTTTTGTTTATTGATTATTATCTTCAATTTCCATTACTATTGTGAAAATGCAAGTAAGTATTACCATAAATATGTAATCATAAGTGAAGATTCAATTCAATGATCTAATAATTTGATATTGTAAAAATTATGAACTGTACTTCTTTATTAGGTTCGCCCTTGTGAATGGTATAAAGAAGAATTTAAAGATTGTAGGAGTAAGTAAATTTATTGCTAATGTATTGGCATTTTACAGATTCTAGCTATAACAATATTAATCTAGAAATTTTTTAATTAAATGACTTTTATTTTATGTATTTATTTTCTAAATTCTTGTTTCCATTTTTTTGGAGATTAAATGACACATGTAGGTTTGTAATAAAAAGGAATAAATAATTGGATTCATGCTGTATGACTGCATAGGAGTGTTCCATAAAATTTTGCTGATCTCCTTAAATATAGTTATATTGTATGAATTTATTTATTTAATCTGACTTGTATTTTTCATTTTAGTTACTCTAAATATATTGCCTGACTTTGTTCATAATGTATACATATCTATATCTATACAGATATGCACTCCACATTAGGAGTTTTAGTCCTAAACTGGGTTTTATTTGAAAGTGTTTATCTCTCATATAGCTGTTGGCTAGTTTTTCTAAACCTTTCCATATTTTTTGCTCATGTATTTGAAATCTAAAATTGTTTTTCTGTGTTATAAGGACTTTACCAAATTGAGAATTACTCACTTTGAAGTTTTGTTATATACTTTAAAAATTTTGGTACCATTTGAAATAACAGTGGAATTTAAAAAAAAATTAATTTTAATTAAATATAATGAAAGAGCTACGTTTAGTGCTTTATATTCATTTCTGAAAATTTGAGTGTTCTGTGTAAATTTTAGCATTACTAAATAAATGTTTCATAATTCTGTATTTGAATGGATCCAGGTTATGCTAATTCCCATAAAACAGTTAAAGATATAGGTCCTTTTCCTTAATCGTTAGAATTGGTTTTAATGATTGAGATTTGATTACAAAAATAGGAACTGAATTTATAAATTAGACTTAGCATTTTCGTAAAGGTACAATTTAAAAACAACTTGTTAGTAGAGCTACAAGATGACTTTGCTAAGCAATCCTGTTAATGGGTGGCAGTATACATTATATAACAAATTTAGTTTGTTTTTTTAAATATAAAAAAATATTATGAGCTTTATAAGGTTATTTTCTTCCTCCTTTCTGTATGCCTTTGTGGTGCAATTGGAAGCATGCTCGACATGGATTCAGGAGGTCCAGAATTTGACTCCTAGTGAGGGCATTGCGCATTTTTCACATCTCCTGCTTTTTTTTTTTTTTTTTTTTTTTTAATTTTATTGTGTTAAACTCTTGATTGTTTTGTTGTAGAAATCAGTTGGTAAATACTTCATACATATATTTCCAATTACAAAGATTTTAAATTAAGATGCAATGTTTTAAAAAGTAATCTTTGTTTTATGAATAAGGAAGGCTCACCAAAAGCTGAATGGTAAAGTTGCTGAATATTGGTTCAAATGCTGGTGAACAGGCTGGCTGCATAGACATTTTCTTGGTTTCACCATATGTAAGGTGTACACAAGATAGTTTCCCTCAGAAAATCCTCCACGAAAGCATCCCTCCCCTCTGGCAGATAACCCTTGTGTTATTTGCTATAATCAACAAAATCAAGCAATGAATTAGGAAGTTTTCATAAAAATATTGACATTTTTCATGGTCTTGCAGAAGCATAGCACATCTTTTTTATTGGTGAAGAACTGTCTTAAACAAACAGTAAGATTTAGTTTTGTCATTTGATATTTTTACAATTCAAAACATGCAAAAGAAATGGTTAAGGAAATGTGCAAATGTGCAGCAGTAATCGTAGTTTTTCAACATTCCACTTCCATCCGTACTTTTGAAAAAAAAAAAAAAAAATTGTTTTTTAACATTCCCTGACACTGTCTTTTTCATGAGACTGGAAGTTGAATGTTGACCGACTGATCCTGAATTTAGCCCAAACAAGAAAGGAAAACTCCAAAGGAATCGTAAGAACTTATAATGGTCCCTCAAAAAAAAAAAAAAAAAAAAAAAAAAAAAAAAAAAAAAGTGCTTTTAGTCAGAAGTGTGTTATCTATGTTTTGTTCTCCACCTCTTCCTCAAGGAAAGAACTTTCCAGAGAGAAAAGTTCTGGATTATTTGATAGTGCATGAAATGAAACAAAAGTTTTTCTTTTACTCTTTAAAACGGCTAGCATTCACATTTTTTCCAAAGCAGAAAAATTAATTTTGAGAAGAAAAATAAAATTTAATTTTAAAATTTTAAGCATATATTTTTATATAACTATTAATTATAAAGGAAAATGATAAAGGCCAGATTAACATCATTTCAGCATATGCTAAATAACATTATAAAAAAATAAAAATAAAAAATAAAACAAATTAATACATTACTAGATTCTACTCAAATGTTCTACATTTTTGTGTAAGGATCCGTCATGATGAATCACGTTAACATTATAAGGATGTAATGTAAGTGCCCAGCACATCAATCTAGAATTACATCTGACATTAGACTGTAGCTAGATCAAAGGGTTACGATGAGTTTGGTTAAAAAATTCTTGCTAACCATCAAGATAAAAATGCCTTTTTTTAAAAATAGATTATGTCTGTGCACTTCTTTTATGTAGTGCAGTAGTTTTTTCAAATTTAGTAAATCTTTCACTTATGCAAAACAGGGTGCTGATTTTGATTATAATTTGATTAAAATAAAAATATTTTACATTTTGATAATGCAGATTATCCAAATGTAAAATTATTAAAACATGTAATATTCTACATTTTGATAGTAATTTGATTAAAATAATAATATGCCCATGCCATTGACTGAGGCAGCTGTTTATCTAATAAATTGTCTATTAAAGCAAGAACAGTTTTGTTACGTAATAATTTCTAAGCATTGCAGCTTCCTTTTTTTGTTACCCCATTCCAGAGTATTGGTTAGGGGTGAAGCAATTTTGGAAAATATTAGTATGTATTGATGATAATTCTCTACTATTCCTAAATAAGCAGATACTTTTATTTTGGTCTTATGTGCAGGATTATTCTTCATAGCCAAGAAATTTATTTTATTTGGAATTCATAGTCTATGTCCAAAAATATGACCTAGATATTTCACTTGCTTTTGAGAAAATTTACATTTGGATGGTTTCACTCTTAAATTTGCTTTCTGTATTCTGTCTAGAACAAATGTTAAGTTTTTAATGTGATTGTTCCAGTTTTTTGAGTAAATAGCAATGTGATCCAGGTATCTTGCTGCATATTCTGTGCATCCAACAAGAATTTTGTTCATGACTGTACTAAAAAAAAAAAAATATGGAGCATTTTTTAACTTGAAATGCATATGTAAATGCCTAAAATTTCCAAAAAATGTTTATTTAAAATAGATTCTAAGGCTGTTACCATGTTTCTCTATTTTCGATCGTAGCATGCTGTCATCAATGCACAGCTTTTGTTCTCTGCCTCAATTAAGACTGCATTTCATGGTTGGCTTTTATTGATGCACTTTTCATAAAGCAGAACACACTAAACAGAAATGGAGCAGGGGGAAAAAAATTAGGCAACTCAAACCATCTCCTGCAGCTGTTGTTCCTGTGGTTAATGGTGCAAGTTGGGTGTCAGAAAATTACCTTTAAGTTCCTGTCATAAAGTAGCAGATTCTAATGCCAAATCTTGCTTATGTTTGGGGTTTTTTTTGTTAATGGAATTTGCCAGTAACCTCTAGAGAAGTCTAACAGCATATATATTTTGCTTTTGACATTTTTTCAATGTGTTGGTAAATATCAGGTAAAGTATTCAGTTGAGTAAAGACATTTAATATATGATAATGCATACAAAGACGAGAATATTTTAATGCAGTTTGTATTAACCATTTATGCCTAAAAATTGAAATTTTAAACAAGAAGTGAATATTTTATGTTTTATTGATATAAAATAATGCAAATAAATAAATAAAATAAAAATAAATGAGTAATTCCTGTTAAAATTTGAGAAGCAGATTCTGAGTACAAGCCGACCTATATGTAGGTCGCTAGTTGTTTAAGCTAGTATGGTTTTTTAAGTAGTTTATCAGGACTAGTGTTTCTTTTGACATGCTTTGGGAACATGACTGGTCCTGAATAAGAACAGGGAGCTTACTCAAGCTATGTTCAAGAATGTGTGAAGTAGACAATACAAGCAGGAAGTGTATACGAAACCCTTTATTTTCTATACTTTGCAGGAATTTCCAAAATTTCGAAATACAGATACCAACCACTTGTGGTCTGAACGTAAGAATATAAAAACTACTAACTAAAACTCTAACTAAAACTAACTTTGAATTAGTATACAAGTGCCTAACACTAAGATTGGCCTTTATTTAAAGAAAGGTACGTATGTAGTATGTTGAGCTGCTAAAACTACGATACGTCTGCAATTATCAAGAGGGCTAAACCTCTGGTCTTGAAGGCAACCAGCAACAGAGTGAAAACTCGTAAAGCTACAGTGGCAAGCTGCTTGCTTCCAATAACTCCTTCCTCTCTCTTGCTTGGCAAAAAGCCACAACTTAAGTACTTGGCATTAGCAAGACAATTTGCATAAATAAGTTAAGGCGTTTAATTCTGGCCGGAAGTAGAAAATAAGAAGTGATAGTACAGTTTTAAAATAAAATAAACGTTAGTAAAACTTAGGATCCTTACATACTTCCCACCAGAGTTAATTAGTTTGAAACTGAGGTCTAAAACGACCTTGTTGAAAACTTTTAGCTCTAGAATCTAATGCGAGGCCAATCTTTTATAAACATTTCTCACTAGAAACTATCTAATCTAGAAATTAAAAGTCATTTTTACATGATCAACTCCATGGACAATTACTTTTCATCTGTACTGCATCTAAAAACAGGAGTTTCTTAGTTGAATCTGGTTCCTTCCAGAGATCTGAAAGGAAAACTAGTTTAATGAACTGTTAAACTATTAAATGGCAAGTAACATGAATACTTATATTTCTTTTAAAATTCTTATTTCATTCATGCCATTATTTAATTATCTCCCTGTGGCGTTCCGACAGATACTTCAACTTCTATTCATGAGATGGCGCCACGTGTAAAATCCAGTTCTTAATCGGAGCAGCAAAGCGACATCTTTACTCTCTCAGACTTCTCGTCACACA